TTCGCTCACAAAGCTTCCTCTATGAGGAAGCAAAAATTGAAAAATCCGCATGCTTAAAGCAGCTTATTATAATTTGTATAAATATAAGTTTACTTACTTATTGAGAGCTAAGTATCCAAGTCTATGTTTGCCTCTTCAACATCGTAGATATTTTGTGCTAAAAATTTTTCTCTTATGCAATCTCCATTAAAAACAATAAGAATTACATTTAACTATGACTCTTTCAGCTTCAAATCCAACGGTGGCACTAGTACGAGCACCGAGGCGACCGCATCAGAACCGACCCAGAAAAGCAGAGGACGTTTCGGAAATGGCAGTTCGAATGGCAACGGATTCAAGCGACCTCGACCAGGCGGTAACCACAAACCTATCGAAGAGGATACCATACAGAAGGAGACTTCCAGCTCGGTGAACGCGGAGAAACCAGTGTCCGGTCGCGGTAGATTCCGCGCGCCTTCCGGCGGCAGAATCGCTGTGTCGACGACGACGATATCAACGCCATCGAACAGCGGCGCCCCGGCGATATCAAACGGTGCCGCCGCGGCTCGACCTGCCTTCAACAAGCTGAATATCAATCGAAGACGCGGACGACCGACCACGAGTGCGCCAGGAGGCGAGAATTCCCAGGAGGCGCCGCATTCCGAAACCGGCGCTCAGACCGTCAGCCAAATCGCGCCGGAAGCTACGACGAGCACCCCGAAGAACGCTGTGCGCGCACGACTTCCCGGTGCGCCTGTAATCAGACCATCCGCCATCAGGCCATCGGGTGGCAGAGTCAATTTGAGACAGAAACCGGGACAGGTGACTACCACGACAACGCTCGCGTCGGAAGCCGCCGAAGCTGCCGTCGAAGAGCCGGCCGGAGAGGGAACCGAGGAGGAGACACACGAGGTTGGTATTTAAAATTATTTATGTTAGCGCGCATACAAATATAAATTATTTTTTCTATATAGAATACTATTTCTTCGTATATATTTTGAAAAGGAATTATCTCATTCTTACAGATTGTGCGATGATTTCGAATTAAGACACAATCTGTATATCTTTTTCTACAAATGTATCTCAAAACTCAGAATTTTTATTGCTCGAGAAAAAATTCTGTCTAATAAATTATCGTAAAACATATTTTGATCTATAAGCAAAGAACAATCAGAAAATATATATTGGCTTATAAATTTTCTTATAGTCATCATCACACTTCTTATTATCATTAAAATTATTTCAAACTATTAGTAAGTAAAAGAAGAAACTAAAAGATTTTATTTTATCTTTATTATCTTGAAAATAACTAATTTCTTGATCAGATCAAAACATATATACCGATATTACTTAATAAATATGCCTGTTACAGAACAAGCTGTATATTAATTATGCAAATATCGATCTATGAACGATTCCGCTCGTGCCTAAAGTAAGGTCAAATCTGAGATTCTACCTCGTGTATATATGTGTATGTCGTGTATATGTGTGTATGTATGGAGCACTCGTGTCAAGCCAGCTGCATACACTACGAAATTAGGTACGAGGACACCGTGATGTCACTCTCGATAAAGTTCTCTTTCGGAATTTACTTTCACTGGATGGCCTTTCGAAATGTCATCAACTAACCGACAGAAAACGGTGAACACGATCGCTTTTCACCTTTCGACTTTACGATCCTGCGAGGTCGTCGCGAATAACGGAGTGCCGAGTACCAGTAATCGAACGAAAAAACGAGATAGAAAATGAAAGTAAGAAAGGGAAAGAGATGGAGAAGAGAGTGTTCAAAGAGATGATTTCGTAATATTTCTTTTAAACAGGCATTCCCCCGACATTTCTTTACGCCCCCCGTAAAAATGAAATTCTGCTTTGAGCAGAAAAGTTGTGTCAAGCACAAAGAATGAAACTATCTTTATTATAATAAATAAGTTTGTGCGGGTATATCATAAAAATTACATGTTTTTATATCCTACAATTTAACTAGAAAGATATTATTAAATTTAAGAAATTTATTCTTAAGTATAGCTCATTCTCATATCAAAACCTTGCGGACATTTCTAGTATGTACAATAAAAATCTAAAGTTATCATAACTTATGTTTCGATTTTAATATGTCAAATTTTGTCAAGTTCTTAGCCATTTATTGTTGCTATCAGCTAATATTATTTTAAAATAACTGAAAAGTTTAAGAACAATTGTAAAGTTCGAATCTTTATGATATTTTAATTATCAACTAACAAACGTCTTATTGTTAGCATGTATAATTTACAAAGAATATCCGAGATAACTTATACGACATAACTTATCCGCGTTAAAGTGTCACATTCTTCATATATATTTTTAAAACAACTCACGTTGACTCCCTCTTTAAGCCATTCAATAAAATAATAATTTTTTCTTCAGGCACCAGCGGAAACCAGCCTGCCGCCGGCGCGTTCGACCACACCGAATCCTCTGAACAAATTGCGAAACCGTAATCGACTACAAGTGCATCCGAAAACGACGACAAAGTCGCCGGTGCCGCCAGCGATCAGAAGATCACCGCTACTACCGCGACGCAAGGTGACCGAGGCCGCGCCGGCACCTCAGACGAGCCAGGAGGATACATCCTCCGAAGAGGAGGTCACTTCCATCAGTGAGACAGAGCCGACCTCCGAGGCGACCTCCGTCGAGATCAACACGACAGCTAGCACGAAGCATGACGAGACACGCGGTCTAGGCGGTCTCCTGGCACCTCGACGTAGGATACCGGCGCGACGTCCGGGTCAGATAGTTCAGGTCCAGGCCTAGATCGCATAATCGCATACAAATAAAGAATAATCGCGTCTTGGACCACGAGATCAAGATTCATTCGTCTGCGAGGATATGGACGATTTCCATGACCTATCAAAAGGAATATAGATTAGATATCCCGTGGAGATGGAGACACATCGAATATCGCGCTCTCGGAAAGACAGATATTTAATTTTTTATAACGTTTTTTCTCTGACATATTTTTTCTGATCAACAAGACAGACATCAAGCGTGTTGGAATAAAGATGGCAGATGTATATAGCATCTTTTACAATCGCGTCTTTTAACAAATCAAATTTATAATACCAGTTTTTATCGCATTTATATTAACAAGATGTTCATCACGATTTTTAAGGATACGTGATGATATTATTATATGATAATATAGCATGATGACATATTGTGTTAATAGTGTAATCTGAAATATGAAAAGATATAAGATATTATCAAAATATCATTAAAATACTCTCCAAATATTTTATATTTAATAATAATATAATCTAATTGTAAATTCAATTATTATTACACTAATTACTGCATTATATGATTTTTAAACACAATACATCACCTACGCGTATAGAAATTACAATCATAATTATAATCCAACACAATAACGAGACAAATAAGTGTTTCCAAGTCTCTTGATAGATATTGCGATAACTGTATTGTAACTGTATTGTATATTTAATTTGGCGAGTTTTTTATTTAATAATTAGCGTGCATTTATAAAGTTATCGAAGTACTATTTTAACGTAATATATGCATCTATATATGCATATGAATAATATCCTCTTGGGGATGTATTTTTAAGACTACTACTGTGTAATGTTCCAAGATACACTGTAAATATTGCAATTAAACATATATAAAGTTAATTGTATTATATTTCTCTTTGGATTTACCTTGTCAAAAAAAAAAAAAAAAAACATAATATTTGCACATAAAATTGATATATTTCTTAATTATTGAGAGAATCAATAGAGTAAGTAAATAGAATAAGAAAATTATTTAGTAAATAAAAATTTGTAATTTCCTGAATCACTATTATTATGTGTATTCCATGAGGCATTAAAATAACCTCAATTTTTTTTTTATTTAAATAAATATTTTAATAGATATACTAAATTTTATCCTTTATATTATAATCTCTGACAATCAATAATGATATGTATTTATTATTATTTATGATAAATCTATGTTATTATTTGTATTTTCTCATTAAAATATAAGAGATAAATATATATAAAATTATGAGAAGAAACGAGAATATAAATTAGATAAATTATAGACATAAATTTTAAGAGATTTTTGTAGTTATTAAATTTATTAAAAACTACAATATTATGATTGTATCCAACATAAAAGCATTCCCGATTACTTATATAATTACGGTCATTAATAATTCGGTATCAAAAAAGAAAGAAAATATCGTTCGTTATATTTTCCGATATATAATATTTTCCATCCACGTAAATATTATATAATTGTGAGAAAGTCGCCGTATCTTTAATCGAGGAATACCGTCATCCCTTACATTCAAACCCATTGTCATATATTCACATCGAATGAAATATTTATATACTTGGTCATGTCATCGGCAATTGAATGCAACATTGTATTTCCCACAAAGTCGGACAATTTCTTGCATAAAAATACAAGAATAATGAAGCCAAAGGGTTGTAATAACAGAGAGAGTCTGTGATTCTTTTTATAAAAACCCAGTGAGCAATATGTTATCAAAAGAAATTCATAAAGTACTCAAGTTTAAGAGTCGGACTTCCGAAAACACCAAATTGATCAATCGCATATGATGCGCAAGTACAGCAAAGTCCTGTATTTGCTACATTTGTGCATCATGCGATTGATCAATCGATGAATTAAAAAACGCCCTTTAAATTTTTTTAAGACATAACCCAACTTTTTAGGTTAAATATAGAAATAACAAAAATATATATGAAAATATTAATATATTTTATGCTCAAATACATATTTAATAATATTTATAATTTAAGAAAGAAAGATTATCTTAAAAACGTTAATATTGAAGAAATGCTATCTCTTTGAAATCCAGAGCATGCAGCGGCACGCAGTTCACACTAGACACAGGGTCTCTAGTTCACATGTACGTTGCTTGCGCATGTGTGCGGCTTTCGTAAAATATCTTAAATGGCACGCTTGCTAGAGATTTTAGAGATATCTATGAAGAGATATCATAAAGAGCTCTTGTGAAAGATATCTTACAAAAAGATAACTTACTGATATCATTTCTAAGAAAATTTAATTAAGTCTTTAAAAAGTCCTCTTAAAGAGCTCATCCTCTCAATAATGCTCACTGGGAAGTTAATGATAGAAGAGCTTACCTTGCGCTTTATGCACATATCTTGCGAGATACCGTGTAAAAAAACAAATATATTGTTGTAATATATATATATATATATTATTTATCAAGGATAAAATAATTCTACGAACGTTGCGGTCGCCAAATGAAATGTAGTTCAAATCGTCAAAGACTTTTTCGCTCCAATTCGTTAAACGCTTCGAAACTTTTGTCGTGTCCAACGGAACGCATTCCTGATCAATGAAACGATTCAAGATATTTGTAACGCCAATGTGCATCTTATATGTAGAGCGACCTATGTCATTCGAACAATCAGCGCCTCTTACGGAACGATGATGAACTACATGTGAAGTGATGATAAATCGAATATAAAATTTTTTTATATAAAATCATTTTCATTTTAATGCAACGCGCGTATGAGAAGCTTATACGTTCATTCAAATATATATGTCCTCGATTATCTTTTTTGATCACAAGAAGAAATGACGAAATTACAATAGATACAAGTAGTACATTATGATTCCGTGGCGTTGATTGTAAAGTGGGCATCGAACTGACATACATACATAGAGGAAATACTTGGCCAGCAAAGATGGTGAAACGCGAAAAGACACATGTGCAGTTTTAACGGTCCGATGTCTAAATTATCAGTGAATAATCGCACGCGGAAGGTCAATATGTAAGTGAGCATAATCACGCTTAATCAGCAACTACGAGTATATGCGCGTTATAAGATTTGTTGTGGCATTCGTCAGCTGTAGGATCGCGATTCGAAGGTACGCAAAGGCAGAATGCGCTTTGTTTATGGAGATCAGCTGTGTTTCCAAACATCACATCACTCTTCCTGCTTCGCGCGCTCTGCTAGCGAGCGACGTTGCTATTTCCGTCGAATAAAGGTCAACCGAATGCTGAGGACAAAGCGACGAACGTCGCGCGTATGACGTGTTGCACTCTCGCATCATTGTCCGTGTAGAGAATCCGAAAAAATCTTCGAAATCCAAAAAGAAAAAAAGGAGAACGAGAGATAAAGTGTACCTTCTTCAACCAACTACTTATGATTTGAACCACTGTTTCTGCATTTTCTTGAGAGAGCATAATCGACGAGCTTTCTTTTATGTCGCATTATATCGCGTTTGAACATTTAGCTCTATCGTAAAAAAATTGAGAAACTTTTAATACATTTGAAAATACTCCAATTCTGATACTGTACAAGTGCTTTTCACGATTTTATGTGGATTGTATTGTCATGTGTGATCATTATTAGCTATTATACTTAGGAAAGAAAAATAAGCATGAGAGACAAGTGTAGCATATATTGATATAATACTAAGAAAATGTTCAAGGTGAAATATGCAGCTTGATGAATAATCAATTGAGCAATTAAACAAGTTAATCCCATGATAAGATGTATAAATAAGGAAATTTCTGTTCAAGAGAATGATATATATTCAAATAGACTGTATTTAGGTCATTGGGAATATGCAACACCATGTTGTATTTTTAATTTTGTGATAATAGAAAGAAAAATATAAAAGAATTTACGTTATTCAAAGAGATATATAATCCATTCACCATAGAAAAAAATCAATTGATTATTATGTTAAAACTTTGTTTTTAAAAATCAATGCACAATGTCTTTAGCGAATATTTTTAAACTCTATTGTGAAAACATACAATATTTTTCTTAATGTCAAGAAGAGCAATTATATGTATAGATTTATATTATATGATTATATTTATTATATAAGATATGTTTAATATTTATTAAAATATTGAAGATATGTTATTACAATACTTTTTTATAAAGATCCAAGTTTTGATTATTAACGTAGTTATTATTCTATTTTTCTGTTATGTTTTGTGTCTTATTATGACAAATATAATCGTTTATCTCTTTATTACGTTTAATAGTTTATTAGCATTGTTATGTCAAAACTTTTGTTTATTATAAGTATTCATACGTAGAAATAATTTTTAACATCATTAATAAGTACAAATTTATAAATTTGTAAGATTATTTTGATACTGTGAAAATGTATTGCAACTAAGAATTATTATGTTTAGTATGATTTAGTAACTGATTTGCATTCCAGATGCTTGCGGAGCAATCATCAACTGGTAGTTAAATAAACTTAATGACATGAAAGAATGAAACGAGAAACTGTCATTACCTGTATAGAACCAAACCGAGCGCAAACGGTAAAATCTCATTAACTATGTAAATTTTATACTATTCTAATGCATTGTTTGTCTACCACAATTCTCCTCTTAATATATTTTTATAATTAACAATATAATTATATAATATAATTGCATTTGTAGATGACGACGGTATTGGACGGTAACTACCAACGTATACATCCTTACGAAGGTCAGGAAGAGGATGCAGATGATGAAGACGATCGCGAGGAGACGCCTCAAGAATCGGGCGTCATAATCCACGTAGTACCAGAAGGAAACAAAGCGCGATGGAATCACATTGAAGATCTGGACTCATTCTTCACACGAATGTATCATTATCATCAGCAACACGGTTTCCTTTGTATGATGCTCCAAGAAGTTTTGGAATTATGGCAATTTTTTTTCGTGGTCTTCTTTGTTACCATCCTTTTTCACTGCGTCGATTACAACAAAATATATAAGTACGTTGTAGTACTTTTTAAACTCTTGCAAATTATCTTTCGATGTAATAGATATTCAATCGTCATATTATATTTTCAGTGGTGGAGATACTAATGACACCAGCCACAAAAGCGACGCTATAATATGTGTAGGAGATTGTGTAAAGTCAATCTCTTTATTTTATTGGAGTCTTCTTGTTGTCGCAGCCATTTTCTTTATTCTTCAATTTGTCAAAGTTTCCTACCACTTGATGCAGTTCTGGGAGATCAAAATGTTTTTCAACACAGCACTCAAAATTGCCGATAGTGAGTTGGACAATTTCACTTGGCACGAGGTTCAAAAGCGAGTTATAGAAGTGCAAAAAGAGCAAGAAATGTGTATTCATAAAAGAGAACTTACAGAATTAGATATATATCATAGAATATTAAGACACAAAAATTATATGGTGGCTATGATCAATAAATCTCTTTTACCAGTACGGTTAAAATTCCCTATTATAGGAGAAGTTATCTTCTTGACACGGGGATTGAAATATAATATAGAATTATTATTGTTTTGTAAGTATATAATGCGATAAGTAAACGTAACATTTCCAAAAGTAGAAAGAGAATTCATTTTGATTTTTTTCTTTTCCAGGGGGACCATGGTCACCGTTTGAAAATAATTGGCATTTAAAAGAAGATTACAAAAAATTGAATAAAAGGCAAGAACTCGCGCGATTATTGTCTAAACATATCTTGTGGGTCGGTATCGCAAATTTCATCTTGTGTTTCCTTATTCTCCTGTGGCAAGTTCTCTATACGTTTTTCAATTATGCTGAGGTAAATAATTATTTTTTCTAGTTACGAATATGTACACTCAATGAAAATTTTAACGTAATAATTACACTAACATTCTTTAGTGTGAATAATATACTACAAAAATATTATTGACAGACTATTAAGCGAGAACCAAGTGTCTTGGCAATGCGCACGTGGTCCCTGTATGGCCGGCTATATCTGCGTCACTTTAACGAACTCGATCACGAATTGAACGCCCGTCTCAGTCGCGCGTACCGTCCTGCTTCCAAATACATGAGCAGCTTTACGTCCCCGATAATGACAGTACTCGCCAAGCATATCGCATTCGTCACTGGTAGCGTATTAGCGGTATTGTTGGTGATAACGTTGATCTACGAGCCGATATTCTCGATGGAGCGCGTAGTTGCTTACATGACTATGCTAGGCGTTGTAGCGGCAGCCGCAAAGGCAGTAATACCCGACGAAAATCTGGTCTGGTGTCCCGAGACTCTTCTGACTGCTGTGCTGGCTCATACACATTACAGACCGGACAGTTGGCGGGGTACCGCTCATACGCTAACCACTAGAGCTCAAGTGGCGCAGCTGTTCCAGTACCGCGCAGTACATCTCCTGGAAGAATTGATTTCTCCATTTGTTACGACGTACATTTTGTGCTTCCGTATGCGGCATCGAGCTTTAGAAATTGTAGACTTTTTTCGTAACTTCACCATCGAGGTTGCCGGAGTCGGCGACGTGTGTAGCTTTGCCCAGATGGACGTGCGCAAACATGGCAACCCTATGTGGCAGACTGTGACGCACAGTCCCGCAGTTTCTCCGTTGCAACAGGAGAATCGTAGCGCCGGATACGATAATCAGTATGGTGTCGATCCCGATAAGTACGTGTCGATGTCGAATCATTATACTCAGGCGGAAGACGGCAAGACCGAATTGTCCCTTATACATTTCACCCTAACAAATCCTGAATGGAAACCACCGTCCCACGCAGAGAATTTTGTGACCGCTTTGAAAGAAAGAGCTAGAAAGGAAGCGACTGCGGATTCTGATCCTTATAACAATCCGCTTATAGCCAGTTTAAATAGCTTATCCGGTCTTGGTGTAAGTACTCGTTCTTTTTTCTCATACTTACTGAATAATTCTATTGCAGTTGTTTTTGTGTTTTATATATTGTTTCCATATAATTTTTATTACAGTATAAAGAACATGTGTCGAATATTATTCGAAGTACGATAAATCAAATGAGTATGCCCAGTATGAGCAACGTTTTTACAAATCAACCAAGCACATCGACCACGTCAGTCGGCGTCGATCGATCATTTGGCACAAAGTCTACCAGACGTCGAGGTGCATCCAAGAAGGAGGGTCCGTTGCACAATGAGAGAGGATTCCTGTACGATCTGCAACAGGGAATATCGAATCAGTCACTAGGTGCTTCTGTATTTGGATCAGGCCACAGTTACATCGAGACTCATACAGATCCGTCTATACCTACGGAATTAACTGCTGCCGATATGTCTTTATCTACATTGTACCTGCATGAGCTTCATCATAGACAAGCAAGTATCTCAGTTTATATTAATGAGGTATCGAGCAGTATCGAGCTGCCTAAGTACAATGTGACAAAGAATTACAAGCAATCTCGATAAAAATGCAGATATTAAATATAAAAATGTTTAAATTCTAGGTAAGGAGAAGAGGCTATCAGGAAATGGCAACGAGAAGTATATGGCAGCGAAGTCCGGCTCAAGAGCTAGCAACACTTCCCGAAGTTAGGCAAGAAAGAGTACCGCTCCTATTGCACCAAGATTCTTCTTTAAGAAAAAACAGAGAATCTTAACACTACGCTTGAAAGTTCATTTAAATAGCGTAATAGATTCTCGCGCAATAATCATTTTAGCGGAATAAAGTGATTTTTACTTGTTTTATTACGACGAAAAAAATTCACAATTTATTTTATCATAAATAAGTAGTCACAACACGTTCGAGAGTGATATCGTCTCGATGTTATGTAGAAAATTAATTACGTCTTCTAAATATTCTTAATATTATATAGTGCAGAGAAAAGGACATAGGCTTCTTTCTCTTTCTTCTCTGCATATGGCCAACGATTTAATAACGCCTACTCTTAATATCAAGGACCTATCTGAAAACTTATATTTTATACATAAAACATTCATACTTAACAACAATTATTTTATCTTATGTTTTGATGTAATTGTAGACTCCACATATAAAAAACATTGATTTAAGAGATTGGACTAGTATAGCACAGTCTATATAAACGCGCGATAGAGATTTTTTAGAATTATTTTTAAAAAAATACATAAGGTTCTTTTGCATTAAGATAAATTATATAATTTCTCGCTTCTAATACCGTCACATGAATACAGTGAGGAAATAAAAAAAAAAAAAGAATAGAAAAGAAAACCTTTAAACTTCAACTATTTTTTAAAAACAAGAGAAAGACAAAAATTTTTCTGACTAGGCTATACTGGCTTTTATGACAATCTAACTTTTTAATTCAATGAGGTTTGTTATGCTATTATTAAAAGTATTGATATATATTACACACACACACATACACATAAAATTTTGTCAAATAACGAATAGAATATTTCAAATTTAAATGAGTTGAACGTAAAGATTAGTATAATATAGATAGAAAACTAAAAGAGATAATACATTTTTATATTCAAATATGAGATAAACACGTAATTTACATGTCTGATAATTTTAATGACCTCTCAATGCCACGATTCTCTAGTCATACGAAATTAATATCGCGCCGTAGCGTACTTCTCTTTTTAGACGAAGTGGTCCTATTTATTTTTAACATTTTATTTTTATTACTAGCTATTATATAATATATATACATATATATACATATATAAATATATATGTATATGTACATATATTATACATACATGCATACATACATATACATATATAAATATATATGTATATGTACATATATGCATGACGGCGGCTAAATATTGATGGCTAGGGTAACTCGTAGAATTACATGTACATAAAATCGCGATATTTTGAAATGCCGCGATAACAATTATAGTTGAAAGACAAGTCTCGTCCTTCGACATAATAGAGGTTGTTACAAAGTATATTAAGACAAATCTAGACTCTACTCTTTACTTATCCTTTGTTTATACACAACATTTAGTAACTTAATAAGAAATCGATGATTTGTAAAATGAATTAATAGGTAATAAATAATATTAAATAAGAAAATACGTTTTTTGCTAAATCTTATATCGATGTGATTCTCATGAGATGAGAAATTAGTGCTGTAAGAAACACATCTGTAATTATATCACTATAACAGAAATAAATAAATTTCTTAATAAACTGGTTAACTTTATTTATACTATATCTATCGCTCATATATTTCACTATCAACTGTCACCAAGTTTTTTGAAATGTTATCAATGAGAAAAAATATAAAGTGTAAAAACATAAAAAAAAAAAAGATTTTGTAGTAAATATAATCATTAAAGAATGCTGCTTTTGAATGCATCCTTGATTTTCAATTATTTGTATGGAAAGCTTTTGTTTTTTTTTTCTTTTTGTAAGAATCGTGATGATTGCTGCATAAATATTTGAGAAAAATGACTAATGATAAAATTGCAAATATGAGCGCCTGCCAAGAAATTATATCGTCAACTGCTAAGTTGGTGGATGCTTCCAAATACAATCTGCGATGTAACCGCAATATCAGTGAGAAAATGACAAAGAAGGACTTCATTTACGATATCCGTACGCCTGCACAGACCATGAGAAAGGTACTTATGCCGATTGACGCGAAAGCCTTGTTTTAGCGATTTACTTTCTCGGGATGTAAGAATCGGTTTTAGAAAATTCAAATATATTAAAATTTCAAAGAAATTGGCACATCCACATTAATTACTTCCTAAAGCACACATTTCGATGCGTCAAAACAAAATTTGTAATCTGTATAGTTCGAGATACAGAAACAACCTATCATACTACCGATACAACTACGACGAAAGCAGACCACTAGTTCAAAAATGCCACAATACACAGTAATTTCCGAAAAACTGGACCGCGGTAGTGGTGATGCGACTGTTGTAAGTAAACATTATTTATGAAAGAGTTTGATACTTCTATTTTTTTTCTTACCTGTATTTCAATACTATTTAGTTTAGTAAAAAATAAGTAAAACTATTGTTATTCAAACATTTCCCCTTTAATGCATCGAAAAAATGTCATTTAAGGTACATTTTTTTAAAGCAAAATATGATAATACATTTTATTCTAATCTTGTTATGCTGCACTTTTGATCCTGTTGTTACATATTCTCACATTTCATTTTGATTCATTTTCATTCTGAATTTCCAATTTTTTCTATCTATTCTTAAATATACACCCTGTAAAGTTTAATGACTGACCTACGCATTTATACTATTTATTAGCCTCTTTATGTGACATCTAAACCCACGCAGTCATATACCCATATTTGTAAGAGTCGTGTAATGTCTATAGATAGGTGATTGCACCCTGTAAAGTTTAATGACTGACCTACGCATTTATACTATGATATTTATTAGCCTCTTTATGTGACATCTAACCCACGCAGTCATATACCCATATTTGTAAGAGTCGTGTAATGTCTATAGATAGGTGATTCCGTCTCAGTCATGGTTAGCCCTATCTTCCTTGACATTTACTAGTTCCGGCGCTACGATCTTCAGGGTGGCATCTACACTTTCGCAGCAATTATTGCAAACAATGCTTTGTCCACGTACTGAAAGGTCCTGTGCTAGAAGCTTGACATTCTGCAAGGCAAACGACTTTATGTTAATTATGATATTAACACAACAGAGAGAGAAGCGCGTGCGTATATAAGTTCTGCATATAAATGAAAGGTAAAACTGCATAAAAGGTAACACATCTCCGATTTAATCGCCACTTAAATAAATATGTTATAGGGGAAGTTTTTCTGAGTAATTCCCCGCAAGAAATAATTGAGGAACGGCATTGGTTTAGGAGATATAACAAATTGAAGTTTCACAGTTTTAATGCTTTTTCTCAGGTATTATAAAGCAATATTAGGAAAAGTGAAGTTTGTATACGTTGTATTTGTTGTAGAGCAGATAAAAAAATGTTTGTTTACATTTACGGAATAGGTACACGGTCATGGATATTTTGTCAATAATGTGTTTCACCTATTTCTCGCAGTTCGTTAACAGCTTTCAACATGTAACTACATGAATTTCTGATTCATGTCTTCAAAAATATTATTTATTGAATACGTGGACGGGGAAGGGGCGGAGTCCCTCCCTCTACACCCCACCCCGAAAAAATTCTTTCATATCTGTTTGCCCGTGACATTTCCCTGAACCTATCTCAACAAGCATCTTATGTCGAAGTTTGGATCTTTCACATCGACCGCGGGCAAGACATCATTACATACCTTAGCGACCGTAACATCAATCCTTTTCAGGTTCTTACAATCAAGTATCACATTGCATTCAGTCTCTCCGGAAAGCCTCATTATGTTAGCACGCAGTCGTTCTGCCGCTGGAAAAGCTACTGCCTCTTCAGGTATGACAATTATTACGGTTTCCCCTTCGATCTGCATTAGAGACAAAGAAAATAAAAAGTAGCTTGTTTATGCAGGTAGCTGTAGCCATCCCGTAATAAAAAACTATTTCAGACAATCTCGGGAAAAATGTATATTTTCGATAACGACATTTTAAAATTAGTAATTTGATTTAAATACAATTGGGTTATTAATATTGAAAATTGAATAAAAAAGAGGGTACATTAAATAGTATATAATCTAATATATACTTGATAAAATATAAAATATTTTTGATAACAGAGTTTCAAGTATACGCGATAAAACAAAAATCTCAAGGAAATTTATCGATACTCGAGTAAGACCGAAGAAGAAAGAGTACGAAGCAATGTATCAATTTTATTTGTGTGCGATTCGCGTAATAATCAGCATAAAAGATTAATTTCTTATGAAATAATAAAGTCTCACTTTAATACGATAACAGCATGATGAAATTGAATTAAGTTAAAAATGTAGCGTCAGTGATTTAAGATAACAGCGCTATAATATATCTATGAAATATATATTTTCTCTCTTTCGTATTGATCAGTTAGAAAAAAACTTTTATTCGATTATAAGCATTATAATATTTGCAAATCGAGTGAATAAATATTATCTTTTAAAAATACTGGAACACATAAAATTTTTGTCTCAATAAAATCTAATTTTGTATATATATAAGGAAATAAAATTTATGCAGAATATTTGGTAAAAGATTTGGTAAATAATACATGAGCTTTCAATGGAACATATATCAAATTATTCGATATTAAAAGATCGATCACAATCAATTCATTATTACTATACCTGTTCAATTTTCATCTCAATGGAAGGTCGCGCTGAATAATATAGTAAAGTTATAAGATTGACAACGATGCCGATTAAGATACCATACTCCAAACCGAGAAAAACGCATGGGACTAATGTCAGCACCATCACAAAAAAATCGATCTCTACAAAAATATATGTTATTAATTTTTTTAGCTGTAGCAGTGTCTAAAGAAAACAAATAAACACAATTTTTGTAACTCGCAAAAGTTTTCACAAACGGAAAAAATTTTACAATGGGAAAATATTAACATAAAATCTTGTGTTTTCTGATCGAATATTCTTATAGCAAATTCGATTGAATGCACTAGTGCGCACTAGTGTACATTAAAGATTGTCATATACAAATTTACAAAAGTCAATAAAATAACGTAAAATAATAAGATAATTAATACGCATCGACAAAGATATTTCTTTTAAATTTAAAATTTTTTAATTGTTTATTAAACAGTATATATGACTTAAAAAAATTAATGACGCACCCGTGGTGTAACCCGTGCTAATATAATAATAATTCAAAAAGCACAAATCATCACCCTTAATGCGGCTTTGTCGAGCAACGTTTATTTTATACATTTATAAGCATTTTCTGCTTTCAAATGCAAGTGCAAATTTATTTTAATGAGTTATATCGCAGAAGGCAACATTTAATTTTTAGATTAGCCAACCTAAAAGATATGTGTATATTAATCAATGAATATATGCAAATATATAATTTATATATATATATATTTAAATTAAAAACTTTACGATTTAATAAATTAATATACAAATAATAGTTCCAATATCACATTAATGAAAAAAGCTTTCATTTAAAGTATTATCAAAATATAAAGCATCAAGCAATATTGATCAAACGGTCTCGAAAGGGGAACGGACGACACTGTTCCGTCTTAACAATAACTGACATCACAAGGACGCGTTCGAGCATTATTGTTTCGCGCTGGCTTTCCAAGAACAGATACATCACGAATGGAATCCGGGTATAAGTGGTGCTCTGGTGCATTGACGTTGGCTCCTTTGTGCAACATCGTTGATACCACGCTGATTAAGCTGTATATAGATCAATTGAACCAAAGAAGAGAGAGAGAGAGAGAGAGAGAGAGAAAGAGAGGAAGATTCATCTTGAAACTTACTTCTGGCACGCCATAATAAAGCGTATGTCGAGAAATCAAGCATGTAATACATAGCACATATGATAAGGCCGGCTAGCGTCGCCTTTGGTATAAAACGGAAGGTAGAGGTCAATAAACTAACCGCGAGCAACACCAGACCACCTGTAAAAAGGTTCTATAGTCATTATTAAAAAAAAGATACACCGAAAAAATATCACCACGCTTCGCTAAAAAATTTGCTAAAGAATTTAATGGATGATTTTTTTATCTATTTCAAAATGGAATCACAATTTCATTGTTTTCAAAAAAAATCTTTATAATGTAAAATCGTTATCGTTGCGCTGAGAGAAGAGCAGTTTAGATATATTTTGGGACAATGAATAGAAATATTTTTCACGCGCCAAATCGATCCGTATTGAAATCACGTTGGACTCAAAGATGGAAAAATTTTTGTTCACTCTATTCACGTACCTGTAAATATTCCTCCCAACGGGGTTTTGACGCCCGATGCATGATTGACGGCCGTTCGTGTGAAAGATCCTGTAACTGGCATTGAACGGACGAATGATCCAAAGATATTGCAAATTCCTAGGGCAATCATTTCCTGCGTGGCATCTAGGGGTTTGCCTTTCCCTAAAATAAATCATTTCCTATTAACTTATTACTTTCATTGAGATTAAATAAACTCGGCTTTTATAACTCTCGATAATGATGTTAAAAAAGAGATAATAAATGCTTTTACATTAATAGAAAGTAGCGACAAAAATATTCGTAAAAAAAAAAAAAAAAAAAAACGCGACATACAAAAGCGTATCATGCGTTTTGAAAAATTTTTTATAATAAAATCTTTGTTCTTTATAACTTTGTAAAAGCGGCAACGGCTGATAATAATAAAAATCTAATTACCAAAGGCTTTTGCGATGGCTATGTGCTCGATAGTCGATACGATCGGTATCGTGAACAGTGTCGTTCCTATTGCGGTGGTCATTTCCAAAAAATCGTATGTACGGTTTTGAAATGTTGTAGAAAATGGTGGAGGAGCGAACGGTGGTAAATCCTGACCCATCGAACCTGAAATGTTTTGTCTATTATTTGCGTTTTATAATATATATCAATGTGTGAAAAATACATTTTATTGTATTTTATTAAAATACATTTATACATTTTTATCTTTTACATTTAATAATTCTTAATAATATAATAAATCTTTTACATTTAATAATTCTATAATTTCAACATATTGAGAGAAGAATATTAAATAAAAGATAATCCATTTTAAAATTATCTGGCGACTAATTTCCATTTAATTGTCAAAGTTTACTTTAATTCAAATTCACACACAGTAATGTTAATTGAATAATTATAATATTAAGCAAATGAATTAGCCTTACTTACCCGTTAAATTGAAAGGATTTTGTTTATTGATGTAAAAAATGTAAGCCATAGCGGTGCCTATAATTACGACTAATGCATTGCGAGACAAAGCAAAAAGCCATCCTATTTTTTGAAAAATTGTTCCTCTACGGCGTCCTGGTATATTCTATGTGTTGGAAAAAAAAATAACATCTTATCATCACACAATATTCTGAACTGCCTGTTATAAAATGTATATTGCTTGTAATTATATTCAATTGCCGAAATATTTAATCTCAAAAATTAAGGAGATATAATATAGAATGACATTCAGCTGAACTTTGACTGAAAATAAATGTCGGCTTTGTCGGCCAACAAATTGATTAAGTCTTTGCATTGCAACAGCATTTCTTATAATACAAATATATAATATCTGCGTTGCTTATATATGTATAAAGTATATAATTCTTTTGGTTTTAATAAAATGAAACGTTTCGAAAACTTGATCAAAATGAAAATTGATAGAATTTTATACCTTGAGCAAAACTAACAAAATGATTGTCCCAATGCCCAGCAAAGTATCTTGATATCGAATCTGATTGAGGTGTTTGAAGATCATTATCAGAGAATCCAAAAAATTCTCAGTTCTACCAGGAATGTCGAGAAGAGAC